ATATATATATGCCGGAGGCATTCGCCAGTGAATTAATCTAGTACATACGTTAGTGGCAGATAGTTGTGATCCCTGCAACATATAACCCTACACCCTATCCATATACCCTCCAAACAGCGTTATCTCTCTACAAATCAATTCAAACGCTGTCAAAGAAAGAGCCCTACCACACACTGTACATGACTCACTACGGCGATGGCACTGAGATGGTTCCCCTGCATTTCTGGGAAGATAAGCACGTAGAGGTGTTCGAGAAGTTCACGTACAACAAGCGACCGTTGGGCACGTTTCCGGGCGCGCTAAGGTATGAAATTTTTGTCTTTATCATGACAATAATAAACATTATCATTATCGTTTTTGTGAAAGGTTAAGATATATTTTAAAAAGGGTTTCTGGTCGAGTTGAAGTACATGAGCGTTCTCTAACATTGCACGATATACTATAGTTGCCATGGTTGCCATTATAGAAACATTTCGTAATAGTCAGTCTGCTTCAAAGCAACCCACTTCCAATACCACGATCAAAAGACCGCAATGCTTTGGGTTACACGCACAGTACTCCCCACTGAAGTATGATCACAGCGACACATTTCAGCTCAGCGAGAATGTACCTACAAATGTACCTACGCAGTATTCTTATCCATACAGAAACATAACTTGATACCATTCCTATCGCTTCAGAGACATAAAAGAAGACACCGTTTGCTTCAAGACGATACACTTCCAATACGACGATGAGATGACCGCGCGGCTCAGAGGCCATAGCAATCTGCAGGCAAAGCACGAGAGCTCAATGTCACAGATAAGTGATCCATTGACAGCGGATAAGCACTTCGTCAATACCAATTACTACAAAATGCTGCAGCTTGCCAGCGGGTGTGTGCCTGGCAAGAGTGTGTGTGTATGTTGTATTGGTGTTGTATATGTCAAGTGTGTGTGCGTGTGTGTGTGTGTTGTAGTGCTATGGGAGTCAAGTTTTTTCTGTGTATGGAAGACCAACCACCACAAAGTTCTGTAGCTGGCCAGTGGGTGTATAGATATCGAACTTGCTTACTATGTGTACCACAGAAGAAATGTCTTCGTTTATAGCAGAAGAAGTCTGTCTATGCTTAACCACTATAATAATAGTATGAAAGCCAACTCGGGTACGCTCATACGCTTCTTTACTCAATATTTTCCGCCAATTTCTGCCATTTTTGGCTCCAGTTTCCAGAAAAAGATGCACAAGTCATTCAAAGTGGACCAGATCCCAATGATTCCCAACCGCTGCCTATTGATCACACGGAGAGAAGGACGCAATGGACACGACACATTCCGCGAGATCGTGAATGAGGTATGTATGTTTATTTGCAAAGGGGGATAGGCAATGGGCAATCGCACGTGATGAGGGACGGTGCGTGCTACTAGTAGATTATATATTGTGTATTGCGGAAGTGGTCAGTGCGATATGAACTTTGTGTTGAATGGA